TCCTGCCCCCCCCGGCGGGGAGCCAGACCAGCCCCAGCCCCAACCAGCATTTGCAGATGGACCCTGAAGAGCCACCGTCCCAGCAGCATGCTGCCAGGTAAGGGGTCTGTGGGGCCAGGGGAGCCCTGGCACCAGAAAGGGCCCTGGCCCCCACCTACAGCCCCGTTGCGCTTTCCTTTCTGCCCGCCCCAGGGCCACGCGGGAGCAGAAGGCTGGCAGTGCCCAGGAGCTGCCCCCCCGGCCCCGCTGCGTCCGCTGCTGTGAGCTGCCCGACCAGCGCTTCTCCTACCCCCAGTACCAGCCGCTGCCTCAGATCAACATGACCATCCTGAAAGGTGAGGGCACCCTGTGCCGCCGGGCACCGCCAGCCTGCCCGCTCTGTCTGCATCGCTCCAGGGCCACCACAAAGCTGGGCTCCCAGTGCCAGCTCTCTGGAGTGCCAGTCTTGTGCAAACTGGGAGTGAGAAGCTGGGGCTGGTGCCTGTGGTCCAGCACCTGGCACAATGGGGTCAGTGGGCAGGAGATACCCTAGGGCATGAGCTGCTGCTGCTCTGGGGCCCTCTGGGCAGCAACTCTGGGGACAACATCAGAGCCCAGGGAGGGGGATCCCTGCTCTCTCCATCCCTTTCCATCATGCAAAACAGCTGCCAGGGCACTGGGTTTAGAGATGGCACCTGCCTCTGACAGCACAACCCTCCCTCCTGCTTTGCCCAGGCGAGAAGGGGGACCGCGGCGAGCGAGGCATGCAGGGCAAATTCGGCAAGACGGGGGTGGCCGGCAGCAGGGGCCACGCGGGGCCCAAGGGACAGAAGGGCAGCGTGGGCGCCCCGGGGGAGCGCTGCAAGAGCCACTACGCCGCCTTCTCGGTGGGCCGCAAGAAACCCCTGCACAGCAACGACTACTACCAGACCCTCATCTTCGACACGGAGTTCGTCAACCTCTACGACCACTTCAACATGTTCACGGGCAAGTTCTACTGCTACGTCCCTGGGATCTACTACTTCAGCCTCAACGTGCACACCTGGAACCAGAAGGAGACGTACCTGCACCTGATGCGCAACGGGGCGGAGGTGGTGATCCTCTACGCCCAGGTGAGCGACCGCAGCATCATGCAGAGCCAGAGCGTCATGCTGGAGCTGCGGGAGCAGGACGAGGTCTGGGTGAGGCTCTACAAGGGCGAGCGCGAGAACGCCGTCTTCAGCGACGAGTACGACACCTACATCACCTTCAGCGGCCACCTCGTCAAGTACAGCGGGGACCCCTGAGCACCTGGACCCCCCTGCTCCTGCCGCCCCGGGCCGGGTGTCTGAGGAGCCCCCGCCACCCTCTCGCCTGTTAAGCTGTTAGCCCTGCGACATGCCACTGCCCCCAGCAGCCGTGTGAGTCCGTGAGTCCCCCCCCAGCATGGTTCTTCCAGGCCGCTCAGATGTGCCTGGAGGAGCTGGAGCCTTTTCCAGCCTCTGCTGCCCTTATGGCCCAGGCAGAGCCCACTTGGGTGGGGTGGGTGGGCAGCTCATCCTCCACAGCGTCTGCTGCAGAACTGGGCTCACTGGTGCCCAGGCGTTCGTGGCACCGGCTGAACGGGTTTGACGCCGGTGCCCCGGTGCGAGGCAGCGCAGACACCTGCACGGTGTTCCTGCCTTGCCCCACTCACACTGTGCCATGCTCTGCAGGCTCCTTCTGGAAAAGGGCAGAGGGTACTCAGCATCCAGCAGGGAAGGCAATAAAACCACTACAAGCCCCTCTGTCCTTTCTCAGAGCTGGGTCCCAGTGGCACGGAGGTTGTGGCACAGTGCTGGGTACCTGCCGGGCTGACCCAGGGGAGCAGGTTGCAGCAGTTCTCCTCTGCAGGTCCCCATCACTGTCCCCCCCTCCACAGCCTCTGCTCAGTGCCCAAGCAGCCACGAAGGGGCTGGCTCCCCCCCCGCCACCACGCGCCGCCGCCAGCCATGGGCACAGGACCTTTGGCCTCAGCTGCTTCCTCTTCAGTTAGAATATCTGCTGGGCAGGCTTTATGGTTTTGTAGATGCAATAGCAGAGCAAGGTAGCTGCCACCCCACCCCCTCAGCTTGTGACCACATTAAACACCCCACGATTTTCAGTCCTACTCATGCTTCAGTGCATCCTCTTGCTTTGTGTGTGAGGAAGCTCCAGGCAGCTCAGGGCAGGCTCCTACTCCTAGAATCCAGGGGCTGGCACAGTGCTGCTGAGCGGGTGAGGGAAGGGAGTCCCTGGAGAACCAGGGAGAGCCGAGCTGGGCTCTGCAAGGGCCATTTGCAGCAGAAGGGCCAGGGAGCTGAGCACAGTGACAGACCCACCAATCTCTGAGCAGGGCAGGCTGGGGTTGGTGGCCACGCTTACCAAGAATCCAGACCATCCAGGAAGTCCACAGTGATGAGGTAAGGCTGGGGTTAAGCTTGGAAGCCAGTGGCTGGGCAGAGCAGGGCTGCAGCTGAGACCAGCAAGCCCCCCGCCCAGGAAGGGGGGAAGGCTCCACCCTGAGCTTAAATAAGCCATGACC